CACAGAGATTGTCTTTCTGTCTTGACTCTGTTAACTAGCTATGCCCATCCATGCTAAAATAACCTCCAGCTTGGACTACAACGTAGATTTGACATCGAGCTGTCCTTGAATATGGCCCAAAACCTTAAACTGGTACAAAACGTGGCAGCTAGATTAGTATTTTGTGTTAGGTGCCATTCTCAGTGGCAGGTCCAATGTTTTGGAATACTCTGTGTATAGAGATGTGGAAAGTATCACTGTTGGCCATTTTTATAAGACATGCCTACTTTATTTATCTGTTCTGTTTCAGAGGTGATTCTTAGGAGGCTAACAAAAGGTTGGTTTTGGACTTTTCTGCGTGCTTGACTTCTCATTTTCTTGGCAGTCCCTCCACAAGCATGGGCATTGATTTGGGCATGGTTCTTCTGCATGTCTGCACTCCTTTGGCATTTTCACAGTTGTGCAGTCACTTAATTTTCTTCTACATGTGCCTTATATAATCACTGTTTTCAAGGAAGGTTGCTGTCATCATTGGTGGCCTTATCAGCGGTGTAACAGCACTCGGTTTTTTAAATTTTTGCTCATACTTATATCAATATATTGATAGCCTGGCTGAATTAAATGAGGGACGAAGAGAAAGAGCAGGGGGCTCCTTTGATGTGTGCGAGGCTGTTGGGGGGGGGAAGGAAACCCCCGCAAAAAACCTAAAGACACAAAAATGTGTGTGGAAATCAGGAAGTAAACTAAAGCAGTATAGGTCCAGAACTGATGAAAAATGCAAGTGGAAAAGCTCTTTGTAGGCAGAGGGTGTAGAAGACTGTATAAAAGAAGCCACTGAGATTATTTTATGATTGTTCAATAAGATACCATTTTCATTTCTTTCTTGCAAACTGCTGTTTCTGTGTTAGCCACCTTGTAATCCTTGGAGAGAGACAGGATTAAATGTTTTAATAAATAAAGTTAAGTAGAAAACATTCCTTGGATAGGAATCTCAGCTGAGCTGGAGCCAAGCACGGTGGAGAATGCCTGGGTGTTTCCCTCCCTCTGATTCTACAATCAAAGGCAGTTGGGAGTGGTTCATACTGGTTTTAACTTTTTCATATTTATCCCAGATGAATAAACCTGTTGTGTTCTCCCAGTCACAAGCACAGACTTGAATGAGTGCTCCACACCCTGTAAGGACTGATAATTAAGCCATTTATCCTTATCATGCCACTAATTTTTTAAACAGAAGGGCAATAAGCTTAGCAAAAAAGGAAATCTATATTGCAACTCTATTCTGCATCCATGCACTTTACTTTCTCTAAACCTAATCTGCCTTGCACAGTTGTTATACAGTCAAAACAGAATGCTCCACGTAAGTGCCCTGAACAATGTAGAGAAAAGGTGACTGTGAACGTGTCAGGTTTTTAGCATGCTGTTTTAGTTTATTGCACTATACAATTAGAGACCTTCATAAATCCACAGGTATACAGAATTGTAATAGTGAATTGACCATTGTAGGGAGGAAAACATGTGTGGAAAAGAAACAAGAAACAGACAAACAGGGACACACAAGTGACAAAAAAGAGAACGCAGAAAAGTCCAAAGAAAGGGATTTCTGAAAAACAAAGTGTGGAAGATTGGAAAGGGGTTTGGGAGAGACTATGCATGAAACTTGCAGCTGCCTCTCACCTTGGCCTGCATGCCTCAGGCGTGCCAGTCCAGCTGCAACTCTTCCTGCTGCCTCTCAGAAGATATCTGTGGGGCTGCCTGCTTGGTTAACATCATGCTGCTTTCAGTCTGGGCCTGGCCCCTCAACAGTAGCTGCAGGATTTGGGAAGTGCCCCACCTTCCCCAGCAGCAAAACTACCTCCTCCAAGCAGGCAGGGAATGACATATGGGCCTTGGCATTCAGCTGGTCTGGCAATGTCGTGTGATGAAATGAAGCCCCACAAAACAGCAAACTCTTGCATTTTTCTGTCACCCTGCCTGGTATTCTATGGCAGTGTGATGTCTTTGAGCAGCTATAGTCTTAACTCTGTTTTGGGGAGTTAATATTGGGTCCGGGGTGTGTGTGAATATATTTTCTGCATAGCTTGGACTTCTTCCAGGTTTGCACTTAGCTCCTTTCTCTTTGTGTCTGTGGCACTGTGCTGATTTTATGATCCATATGAATTTAGAGAGTACCAAGTGGGGGGGTCTGTGTGAAATTATGGGGAAGGGAAATTTTGAGAGCCAAGAAATTGGACTCTTTTGGGGTTATAAACTCTCAGAGGCTTGAACAGACTAATGTGCCCTCTCCTCTCTTTCCCCCTGTAATTAACTCCCAACTGCTGGCTATATTCCATGTTTTTGGAACATAGGCATCATTGGGCCAGTTGCATAGTTTTCTTTTGTGGGGGATGCTGATTTACAAGATTTTTTCTTCTTCGTGCATCTACTGTTCTGCAAGCAGGAGAGGGCCCCACGTTATCAGTGGGTGGCCTAGCTTTGTTGTGTTTCTGAGTATCGTGGGCCACAATGACTTGATAATTAGATCTAGTGAGATGACAATATTGACGTCAGAGTTTCTTACAGACAATTGCAAGGGGTTTTCCCCCCCTTGTGTACAATAAAATTAATTTCCATTTAATTTATTTTATGTAATAGTAATGTACGTGAAATAAAACATATTCAAGTAAAGAGGCATTTAAACAGTTTCACCCCCATCTGTTTACTAATGTACTGGAAGCACTGTTCTCCTTGCAGGCAAGTTCTCCAAGTTAGAAACCTGACCTGGATTTCAAATTTGAAATCAATGGGACTTAAGTAGACTTTGCTCTCAGTGGTTCCTCTGTTTGTAAAGATAGTAAACCTATTGGTCATTGATTGATACAGATGGAAATGCATAGATGTTCACGACAAGGAATACATGAAAGCATTCACAGGCTTACAGTTGAAGAATCAGTCTCTCAACAAGCCTTGCTTCCTAATCCCTGCTCCAGCATTGATTCTGAGCAGCCAGAGAGAGCGGAGGCATGTCTCTGCCTCAGTTTGCCCTTCTCTTAGAACAAAAGGGTTTAATAATATTTACTTAGCTATCTCTCTGGGGAACTGTAAGGATAAATAAATAAAATGATGTTTGTTTAGCATTTGATTGTGTGAAGCACTATATAAATAACTAAATAGCAATATTGAATTGGATTATCTATCAATCTACACTTCTAGGCGATGGTCCAGAAAAGCTCTCAAGCATATTTGGAAGGCAAAAGGGAATAATGTTTCCCCCCTGAAACTAAAGATGTGTACTTATTTCCAATATTAGATTCAAATGGGAGAAGGCTGTTCAAGGGGTTATAGGGTTAAAAAAGAATGATACAGTTGGGGGGGAAAGCAAACAGCTGATTTCAGAAAACAAGTTTTCATGACAAAGCCCAACTTCCTTGGTTCTTGAGCCAAAAATAGTCTATTGAGTGAAATTAACAACATTGTTGTTTGGATTATACACAATTCATATGCTCAGTGAAACCCATCTGATTACTTGCTAAAATGTGAAAGGTGACAGTGGACATGACTTGGTGGAGATCACAAAGAGGTTCCAGTTGTTTACCTATGCTACCTGGGGCTGGTTCTTTGCCAAACAAAGACACGTCGCTATTTATGGTGTCACACTGAAGGAAGCAGAAGGACATTGTATTTAGAGACTGACCCCGACCATGGCAGAAATGCAATGGCTAACCCTGCACGGCAGGTGAGGCTGAACATCACCCCTGGATGCCAGGCATGGATGCCACGTGCTCAGCTGCATTTTGAGCCCTGCTGCTGCTTCCACTGCACCGTTCTAGCATGCACACACACAGATACATTACAAGACAGCAGGCTTAAATCCATGAGAACTTTGGAGAGGTGACATGAAAACATCCTAAATAAATTTCCTAGATCTAGCAACAGCTTTTGCAATAGGAATGCTCCTTTTATAGCACTTTATATGCAAAAGTCTTGCATGGATTTTAGTGCTTGTGGGATGCACAAGGAGGAAAGGGCTGAGAAAGCTGTCAAGAGTTCAGTACCAGTATCTTTTGTCAGTATCGTTTGTCAATTTCCTAAATAGAGAAGCTTCTGTCAGTACTGGGCCATTCCCCTTCAGCCTTGAACCCAACCAAATGGGGAGATGGGAGGAATAGTAATGTCCAAGCAATACCCAGAAGGCAGAGTGTATTGCAGGAAAACATTAAATTGCTGCAATGGGTTACAGGAAAGAAGAAACCATCTGCTGCAGACTACCATGACTGTGTAAAACATAACAGCTATATGTATACACCCAACCTTGCCAGTGTCGGTCAGATCACATCACAAAGCGCTTCATAAGAAGTATTCTGTTTATTGGTAGTTCATAACTATGACACGTGAACATTTTTTGTCAGGAATGGTCGAAAGCAGCAGGGGACCCAAAGTTATAGCAGTTTCAAAGCACCCCTCGTTACAAGCAAAAGCCAATAAGCATTGTGCATTGTGTGTGCGGGCGGGAGAAAAGTGAGCGGGCAAAATAGGAGCCGCTTGTTCCCAGCAGGTCAGGAGCAGCTGGAACCCCAAGGTCAGAAAAGCATAAACAGATAACAACCCAGACAGGAGACATCCTTTGTGTACCAGGCTGAGAGAGGAGGATCACCCCCCCACACACATTCCAGAGAAATGGCAGTGTTAACTGACAGCCATATAAGAGACCAAGCAGCAGCCCTGTGTACTCCACTGGTTGATGATGACATAAGGAGCATTGAGCAGATGAACTTTAGGTACTGTTGCCCAATCAGGCTCAGTTGGTCCCAGGCAACACCTGATGTTCAAATCCCTGCTTAGCTGTGAATTCAATAGATAGCTGCACTTTCTCTGCATCAGTTGACCGTCTGTATAAATGAAAGAGATACTAACCCACCTCACAGGGCAAATGAGGTAACGCAGTTTGCACCATCTGAGTGTTATAGCAATGATGAGTGTATGATGCAAGTTCAGCCCAGTCTTAGTGGCCCTCTAACTGTGTCAATCTTAATTTTTCCTAACAGCTGACAACAAAGAGAAGCTTGAAAAAGCAACAGGACTGAAAATGTTGCAGATTGGCATGGGGGAGGTAGGTGACTAAAGTACATCTCATTATCTAAAAGCTTTGAATTATTTTTTTTGTGAAATTCTATTCTTGTGGAAGTTTGTAGGTGAACTATCTGCATATCCAAAGGGCTTTTAAAAATTCTGATTATTAGACTGTTGCATCTATCATAATATAGTATATTTGACCAATTGTATGAGTAAAGCTTTGTGGCCTTTAAGAAATGCCTTCCGAGCTTTGTTGTATGTCAGGAACAAAACCGCCAAAGAAGAACAAAGCAATTGAAGTGTCTGATTATTCCCTCCTGGTTTACTGAAACTTGGTTTCATCTCTAGACCCACAGAGATCTAAATTTGGGGTGATGGGATTGCAGCTCATAAGGCATAACGTCTAGCAAGTTACAGAACCTTGGATAGCTCCAAGGAGGACAACAGGATCCAAATGCTTTTATAGCAAGGCCGAGATCTTAAACATTGCAATAGGCTCAGATAGGGGCACTCTGCCTCAACTTTTCCCTCCTCTTTGCAGTTTTCTCTATAAGAATTTGCAAATGATTGTCTTTTCACATATCTGAAGAAGTGAGCTCTGACTCACAAAAGCTTATATTGAAATAAATGCCATTAGTCTAAGGTGTTATTGAGCTTTTGTTTTATTCAGATAGATCAAGCCAGATCTCACCATTCCAAGATCATGAGGGTTTCTTAAAATGCCCATGCTCACATTTGGAGCATAACGCTCCTGTGGTATTTTGCCACATCCTTGTGGATCCTCTGGTCTCTTCAGCAAGTGGGACTTGGTGATAGTGGAAGTGGAGGGTTTGGAGAGAGTAGGTCTTCTACGGAGAGAGGGACAAATGTCACTATTATTTATTTGTTCCCTGCTTTTATACTCTGCCCTTCTGCTCCCATAAGGGCCACCGAAGCAGCTAACAGATTAAAAACATACATAATAAAAGCACATCTTAAAAACCATTAAAATCAACGGAAGGGAACATTAACAAAGCTCTTTCTTATTCCAGTGTGGCAGTTCTTGAAATTTTAGCCTGTCTTGAAATCTAGCCTATGAAAGGGCTAGAATCAAAGTGTACAGAGCTTGCTATAGCTAGATGGGTAAGAAACAGAGAAAAGAATGCAAGAAGGAAAGGGACTTTGTACTCTTTCAAACTTTTCCTTGTTTTCAGGGAAACAAAGTAGACATACATATCCGCACTTACTTGTTCTACATAGAAGTTGTCCTCTCTCTTTTCGCCGTCAAGTTGCAGAAGAACAGTTGGTTTTTATACCCCGTTTCTCTCTACTCTAAGGAGTCTCAAAGCAGCTTACAATCACCTTCCCTTCCTTTCCCCACAACAATCACCTTGTGGGGTAGATGGAGCTGAGGGAATTCTGAGAAAACTAACTGACCCAAGGTTACCCCTCAGGCTTCATGTGAAGGAGTAGGGAATCAAACTCTGTTCTCCAGATCAGAGTCAACCATTCTTAATCACTGCACCATGTTGGCTCTCTTTCAAAACAAGAGACATTCAGAGGTGGGTTTCATGGCAAGAAGGAGCTGCAATGGCTCAAGTGGTTAAGACGCTGAACTGCAGGCTGTGGAAGGTCAGTAGTTCAGCAGTTCAAGACCCGGGTGCCACAAGACTGAGTGAGCTCCCGTCTCTGGTTCCAGCTCCTGCCAACCTAGCAGTTTGAAAGCAAGAAATTGCAAATAGATAAATAGGTACCACTTCGGTGGGAAGGTAACAGCGTTCCGTGCGCCTCGGTGTTTAGTCATGCCGGCCACATGACCATGGAAAATGTCTTCGGACAGCGCTGGCTCTTCGACTTTGAAATGGAGATGAGCACCGCAACCCTAGAGTCGGATTCGACTGGCTTTCGAGCAAGGGAACCTTTACCTTTACCTTCATGGCAAGAGACACTCAGAGGTGGTTTGCCATTGCCTTCCTCTGCATTGCAACCCTGGAGTTGCTTGTGGTCTCCCATGGAAATCCTAACCAGGGCTGACCCGGCTTAGCTTCTGAGATCTGACAACATCATGCTAGCCTGAGCAAGCCAGGTCAGGGCATTGTCCATACATGCATTAAAACAGGGGTCATTTGGGGGGGACGCGGGGGGATGCCATCCCCCCGGGTGAGGTGCGGGAGGGCGGGGCCTGGAGCTCCCTTCTGGTGCCCGCTGGAGGTCGCCGCCGGCTGTGGGGAGGACACACTTCCGGTGATGTCAGGGGGTGTGGCATATGCTAATGAGTTATGCTAATGAGTCCCCCTAGCTCTTTTTCTACGAAATGACCCCTGCATTAAAATATTTTTAACATATAGAATACAATAAATGTATTGAGGCTGATATTTGCCTGATAAGAAGTTCTCTGTATTAGGGCATCATCTTTCATCATATGTGTGCAAGCATATGTGTGCAGGTCTGTAATCTTAAACAGTTTTATTTGAAGGCAAATCCTCCTGAAATCAATAGACCTTGCTTCCAGATAATGTGTTTAGGACTGGGGTGTTAGAGTGGAGCAATTAACCCTCAGGCATTTAAGTAGATTAGCAACTTTTCAGACGTATACTTAATTTTATAGGAGTCAATAGGAACGTTCCTTAGACTTCTTCTGAATTGGCATCTGTGTTTAAAGGAGATAGCAAGGAATTTTCAGAGATTGAGTGTATGCCTCCTGGAGGCAGGCTGTCGGGTTATCAGCTGCACTGATGTAATTAAGCAAGGAAACCTAAAGCATAGCAAATAATTGTGAAAGCACATCTTCAAGGTATAAATGCCACTCTGTGTTTCAGCCCATGAAAAATCAGTATTACAGGTAGTAAGAAGTCACAGTCATGTATCAGCACCTTATTATGTTTGCCCCAGGAGACCACAAGTAAGCCCATCTTTACACTTCCAAATAAAACAGTGGCAATCTTTGTCCAGCTGACCCAGAGTTCTGTTTGTACTGTCAGCAGTAGTGAGACTGATTTTCACAGGTCTCCTTTAGCACAGCATACTATAACCTTTGGATAGTAGTGGGTCGATTTGGATTGCCACCATCATCATTTAGATTGGACATCTGGATTCTGGAAATGACAGGTCATATTTTTCATTAAACGTTTTTAAAGGGCTTATAGTATGACCATAAAAATAAAGCTTAATCTTTTTGTGGCTGTAAGATAAATTGGGCCAAATATTCTCCAGGACAATTTTCAGAAACGTAAAGGAAAGTTAGATTAAGTGTTGCTGCTTGAACATGCATTTTTATTATTACTTATGAATGATGTTAGTACATCTACCATGATTAAAAGCTCCAGCAAAGAATAAGGTACCAGCCATAAAACAGAACTCAAAATGAAGCTGGAAAAGAAGAAGGCCAGGAACAATTAGACAGGACAGTCAGAATTTATTAAAACTCTCAGATTGGCTGTGTGTGGATTTGTGTTACTCAGTTTAAAATTTATTTATTTTATTTATTTATATTTATATTTAAATTTATACCCCGCCCTACCTCGAACCAGAGATGGGAGCTCACTCTGTCATGCGGCACTTGGATATCAAACTGCTGAACTACCGACCTTCCAGCCTGCAGTTCAGCATCTTAACCACTTGAGCCACCGCAGCTCCTTTACATAGGATCAGCCTAAAAGGTCTTTGTCTCAGTCATTAATTGGCAATAGGACCAGAGTGCTTTAAATCCAAGAGATCCTGTTTAAATGGTTTGGAAGGATTACACAGATAATGACATATCAAAACAAGAATCCAGCAAATACTAAGGTTTCATCTTTATTTTAAATGAAAATGTGACAATGACTTCCAAGACAACTGTTCTGTGATTAAAGCGACTCACACGCCCATCCTATGCAATGGCTTCTGTCACTTATCCAGGTGTTTATCCTTCTTGACTACTGCACAGACGACGTATTTTGACTTGTGACTGACAGGTTGCAGCTTCAGCTCTGCAACTGGTTGTCTCCTGTAATCTCTGCTCTTACCTTCTTTCCCATATCCTTGCATCTGCTTTGGTGTATATTTTGCATAAGAAAAAATGATAAAAGAACTGTGGTGCTAAAAAAGTTATAAATGGGACATGAAATTCAAAAGCCACTATGAAATTCAGAAGCAGCTATGGGTTTATTCTGATAGATGTTGTGCTCTTGAAACATTGTAAAAAACCCAATGGTGAAGTGTCATGTTGGCTCATGAATTCCTCTGTATGGGAGTGGGGTGTGATTTTAAACTAGCAGAATTGCCAAGTGATTGAGCTGTTGCTATGGTAGCAGCAGTAATTCAATTTTTATTCAGTATCATGTAAAATGAACGAAGGAAGGTATGCCTTGTGGCTATAGGAATGCATGCATCCTGTTTTGGTATTGCTGGGTTTTTTATATTAAAAAATATCAATACATGCAGTATATACCTTGAATTAAACTTTGATGGTCTTAAGGATGCCACTGGACTCAAACTTTGTTTTGCTGCATCAGACCAACACCTGAATCCACATAATATATGTTGATGTAAACTACTGTTTGTCTTCAGGCTGTGCTGCACTCTTGATTTTTAACTTTTAACTGAAAGCAAGTGAATAGTTCAAAAGAAAAGCACATTAAAACATAGCATTCATCCTGAGCTACGTGTTGGAGCATGAATGCAAAATTAAAATGAAGAGACTTCTGCTTTTAAAATCCAAGATGGCATGCAATATTGATGCTTAGCCTGTGATTCTTTCAAATTAGCAATGCTTATGCATAGTTAGGGAGGATGTATAGCACATATATAGAGTTGTTCCCACTGAAGTCCAGAAATCCCAACATGGTGTACAGCCAGTGTGGTGCAGTGATCATAGTATTACACTAGGAGGTCCAGATTCAACCCCCCATAAGAACATAAGAGAAGCCAATGTTGGATCAGGCCAATGGCCCATCCAGTCCAACACTTTGTCACACAGTGGCCAAAAATACCAGGTGCAATCAGCAGGTCCACCAGTGGGGCCAGGACACTAGAAACCCTCCCACTGTTGCCCCTCCCCAAGCACCAAGAATACAGAGC